GAGACGGGGTTTCACCATGTTGACCAGGATGGTCTCGATCTCTTGACCTCGTGATCCACCCGCCTCGGCCTCCCAAAGTGCTGGGATTACAGGCGTGAGCCACCGCGCCCGGCCTGGTTTTCTTGTTTTAAACCTGAGATGAAGTCTCATCCTGTCACCTGGGCTGGACTGCAGTGGTGCAATTTCAGGTCACTGTAACCTCTGCCTCCTGGGTTCAAGCGATTCTCCTGCCCCAGCCTCCCAGGTAGCTAGGATTACAGGTGTGCACCACCAATGCCCAGCTCAATTTGTATTTTTAGTAGAGATGGAGTTTCTCCATGTTGGCCAGGCTGGTCTTGAACTCTTGACCTCAAGTGATCTGCCTGCCTCAGCCTCCCAAAGTGCTGGGATTACAGATATGAGCCACTGTGCCCGGCCTCTTATGATTTTCTGTTTTTTGTTTTGTTTTGGTTTTACAGAGTGATTTATTTAGGCAGAGAAAAGAGAAAAAGGAGAAAGAAAAAGAGAGAAAAGCTTCCACAATGATGTGGAAGGGCTTTTTTTTTTTGAGATGGAGTCTTATTCTGTCACCCAGGCTGGGGTGCAATGGCGCGATTTTGGGTCACTGCGATCTCTGCCTCCTGGGTTCAAGCGATTTTCCTACCTCAGCCTCCTAAGTAGCTGGGATTACAGGTGCCCACCATGATGCCCAGCTAATTTTTGTTTTTAGTAGAGACAGGCTTTCACCATGTTGGCCAGGCTGGTCTCAAACTCCTGACCTCAGGTGATCCGCCCACCCAGGCCTCCCAAAATGCTGGGATTACAGGCGTGGGCCACTATGCCCAGCCAGGTGTTAAAGGTTTTAAGTTTGCTTTTTGTTTAGTTTTGTTTTTGAAACAGGGTCTCACAGTATGGCCCAGGCTGGAGTACAGTGGCACAATCATGGCTTACTACAGCCCTAATCTCCCAGACTCAGGTGATTTTGCCACTGCGCCTAGTCCAATGTTTAAGTTTTACAGCATAAAAAAGTCTCAACATCACTGAAAAAGTCCAGAGCAGAGCATAAACAGAAATCCAAACCAAGGCTGGGTGTGCTGGCTCATGCCTGTAAATCACAGCACTTTGGAAAGCCAAGGAGGTGGGTAGATCATTTGAGGCTGAGTTCAAGCCCAACCTGGCCAACATGGTGAGACCACAATCTTTACTAAAAATACAAAAATTAGCCAGGAATCGTGGTGCTAACCAGCAGTCCCAGCTACTTAGGAGGCTGAGACACAAGAATTGTTTGAACCCAGGAGGGAAGGCTGCAATGAGCCAAGATCACACCACTGCACTCCAGCTTGGGTACAGAGCAAGACCCTGTCTCAAAAAAAAAAAAAAAAAGAAAAGAAAGAAATCTAAAGCGGCAGGTTCCCAGGCCAGACCCCCCAGGGTGGGACCCGTGGCTCCCAAGTGCGGCCCCAACAGTGGGACCCTTCGCTCCCTCGACCATCAGGACAGTGGTTCCCAGGTGTGACCCCCAGAGTGGGACCCTTCGCTCCCTGGACCATCAGGACAGTGGTTCCCAGGCGCGACCCCCAGAGTGGGACCCTTCGCTCCCTGGGTCATCGGCACAGTGGTTCCCAGGCCCGACCACCATAGTGGGACCCTTCGCTCCCTGGACCATCAGGACACTGGTTCCCAGGCCCAACCCCCAGAGTGGGACCCTTCGCTCCCTGGACCATCAGGACAGTGGTTCCCAGGCCTGAATCCCTGAGTGGGACCCTTCGCTCCCTGGGCCATCAGCACAGTGGCTCCACTTCCCTCCTCACCCGGGGCCACTGACACGCTGCATGATGTTGGGAGGCTAACCACTCACTTCCTTTTAAATATTTCCTCTTCCTTCTTGTTGGTTAGCTGCACAGAGTGAATTTTGTCCTCTAAGTCCTTTATCCTGAAAAGAAATAAATATTGGTGGAAGAAGCAGATGAAATGAAAGCAAAGCCCAGCTTGGAATGAGCAGAAAAGGCAGAACCTCCCAGACTCCGGTCCAGGCCTGCGACACTGCCACAGAGCGCATCTCAGGAGGAGATAAAGGACTCACGCACCGGGCGTCACTCACAGCCTCGAGGTCCCGGAGCTCCCGGGCGCGGCTCTGGAGCTCCCTCTCCAGCTCCGCGTTGGTGGTCTCTGCTCTCTGCAGACTCTCTGCAGCCTTCGCCCCGGCTTCCTTCAGAGCCTCCAGCTCTTTGTGCAGTAGTTTAACCTTTGAATGATGAAAAACAGTTCAAAATGCGGCAATAATTGGAAGACACCAGGGCATTAGGGGTACCTACTGCCATTTTATCAGGATTGAGAGAGAGAAGAAAAAAATTCAGGCAGCAGCAAAACGGTGAGAATCTACTAAAACAACTCACATGAGACTCAATGACCATTTTTTTTATTTTGGAGACAGTCTTGCTCTGTCACCCAGGCTGGAGGGCAGTGGTACGATCTCGGCTCAATGCAAACTCCGCCTCCCAGGTCAAGTGATTCTCCTGCCTCAGCCTCGTGATTAGCTGGGATTAAAGGTACCCACCACCACCCCCAGATAATTTTTGTATTTTCAGTAGAGATGGGGTTTCCCCATGTTGGTCTTGAATTCCTGACCTCAGGTGATCCACAGGCCTCAGCTTCCCAATGTGTTGAGATTATAGGCATGAGCCACGACGCCTGGCCTTCAATGACCCTCTGACAGCACTCAGCACCCTACCAAAATCAGTCCCATTAGGGTGCCCCATACATGTCCAAGCCCAATAGACCAATTTAACTGTATTTTTGTTTCTTAGCACATAATTTGCATATTATTTAAATAAGAAAATTAAACGTACGCCACTGGAGTCCCAGCTGCACCCTGAACTCTTCAGTACCTCCCCGGGCTTGTTTCCCAGCCTGTAAGCTATGGGCAGTGACGATGGCTGCTGCGCCCAAGTCCGCTGGTGTGAGGACCGGGCTGCGCCCTGCATGAGCAGGCACTGAGACTCAGCTCTTGCTTTTCCTACTGATGTGCGTATTGTGATGCCCACCACGGGCAGGTGTTCAGGGCTGTGACCAACTCACACAGCAGTTGGAGGCGAAAGTGAACTGGCACCCAATGTCCACCTTTGATGGGAGTGCCCACCCTGCCATGGGGCACAGGGCATCCACATGGCCCACCTGCTTGCTGGTCTCGAACTCCTGGGCCCACGGGATCCTCCTGCCTTGGCCTCCCAAAGTGCTGGGATGACAGGTGTGGCCACCACACTTGGCCAAGGAAAAACCGAAAAACTTCAAAACCCAAGGGTGCCCCCAGTTACCTTGAGCTCCTGGGACAAGGCTGTGTTGCTCATGTTGTCAGCCTGCAGACGGAATTCGTGCTCCCTCTTCTGCATTTTCGATTCAAACTCCAGCAGCAGTTCCTGGAATAGGTTTCATGGTGAAAGAACAGTGGGAACCCAGCAAAGACCCTCCCCTCCATGTCCTAGGAGGTGGGATCCAGACGTGAGCAGGACACAGTGGTCAACAGAGAAGGACCATACACACTGTCAAGGAGAGAAGCTGGGGTCAGTGACACCAATAACAGCACTCTGAGAGGCTGGGGCAGGAGGATCGCTTGAGCCCAGAAGTTCAAGACCAGCCTGGGCAACATAGTGAGACCCTGTCTACAAAAAAAAAAAAAAAGGAGAGGAAAAAGAAATCCTCATCTCTATTGAGTCAATTCTACCTCTAATAATAATAAACACAAAGATCTTTTGAAACAAGAGACAAGAAATCAGACCAAAGGAAGCCATGAAACTGACAAGCATCTAAGACCCCAGCTTAGTAACTAAAAGGCGGAGATGCGAGGAGCAGCAGAACAGGGCTTCCCAACAGCCAGTGCCAGCATCCCAGAGCCCACACGGGATCAGACTGCCCAAAGCCACACTAGATATGTGCCGCCAAACTTGCCCACAGTAACCAATGCTGCTAAGTTAAAACAGGTATTTCCTTCCTTCCAGAGACAAGGCTACTATCTGAACATGATAAAAAAAAAAAAAATCTATGTTCCCCACATCTGAGAGGGCTCTCCCTGAACAAACCCTGCCGAGTCTGAGAAGCTCGGCGTGGACAGCCTAAGAAGTCAGCCAGAGTCACGGCCCAGCCAGAAACCCTGACAAGAATGGCTGTGTCCCGCCGGCTACAACAGCCTCAAATCGTCACTGTCCCCAAATGCGGCTGAGAGCTCCCCACCTGCTAGGCAGGACCACCCACAGCTGGATCCTCCTCAAACTCCTTTTTTGAAAGTGACCTGGAGCCACTTGAGAAAGCCTCATTACTTACAAAAGTCATCATTGGTCTCTTCTTGACCACCGATTTTAGATGCTGGCTTCATGCCTAAAGAACTCTGGCTGTTCTGAAAGTCAAGTCCACCCGTAATCGACAAAGCTCCTTGGTCCCTGAGAATTCCAAGAGAAAGTCCTCTCCAGGCCCTTTCAGAAGCAGCCTCAGGGACCTGTGAACAAGGGGAGTTGCTTCCAGGCACAACTGGACAGCAAGTCCACACAAGAGGCCATCATGACATGAGCGTGGCCTCCTTCTCTGCTGACCTGACTGTGGCAAATTCTCAACACAACCAAACTCCTAACATCTGACAGGACAAGAGAGGAGACCCTGTCACACCTGCACAAAGCCCTTCAACACTGCTGCACCTGCACAGAGGCAGCCCCTCATGACACCTGCAGAGTCACAACCCCCCGTGACTCCTGCACCTGCACAGACACAGCCCCTCGTGACTCCTGCACCTGCCGAGACGCAGGCCCACATCATACCTGCACCTGCACAGACACAGCCCCTCATCAGACCTGTACACGCAGAGACACAACCCCTTGTCATGTGCTCACAGTGGCAGCATCTCTGAATGTGGTCTCTGGATATAAATCTATTGGATGTCCTACAAAACCCCAGCACAGCTGAGTCTCTCGGAGGTGTAGGGTTAGTTTCAAGAACCCCCAAGGAGAAATTTGGTGACCGCCAATTGTCAGTTGAAGCACCTGTTTTCAAACTTACCATAATTGGAATTCCAAATTCTTTTCTACAGTAAATACCTCATGTTTTTAAAATTATACGTTTTCTAAAAATTTCATCATTTCTGAGGTATGCAGGTTAATTTCCTGTGGCAAACGACTGTGCTACAGGCAGCCCACATAGCTGGTAAAATATTGTCTTAGGGAATGTCTGCAAGGGCGCTTCCCGAAGAGATCAGTGTTTGAATTCACAGATGAAGAAAAGATGATCCTTCCTCCTCAGTGTGGATGGGCACCATCCAATCCACTGAGGGCCTGACTGGAACAAAACGTAAGGAAGGGTGAATTCGTGAATTCGCTCTCCTTGCTTGAGCTAAGACATTCACCTTCTCCTGCCCTCGGACATCGCAGTCCTGCGTCTTGGGCCTTCAGAACTGGACCAGGACTCACATCAGTGGCTCCCTTACGCTCAGGGCTTTGAACCTGCGCTGAATTACACCACCAGCTTCCCAGGTTCTCCAGCTTGCAGAGGGCAAACTGTGGGACTTCATGGCTGCCATAACTGCATGAGTCAATTCCTACAATTTATCTCCTACACATCTACGCATCTCCTATTGCTTGTTTCCCTGGAGAACCCTGACTAACCCATGAGGAAAGGAAACACTGAGAGTGGCTGCATGTAGACATCCCATCCTGCTTCCCTGCAGCCCATCCCAGAGTGGCATCTGCCCCAGTGACCCCACTTTACTCCCAAGGAGAATGCAGGCAATGAACTCAATGGTTGTCTTTTCCTCAACCCTGTATGATTTCAGTTTCACAGTGGGCAGGTGGGGAAAGCACCCAAAAAGGGCCGACCCCCAGAGGCTGTACCTGTCTCTGCAGAGCAAGCTCACTGTTGAGCTCCTCAAGTTTTCTCTCCAGCCTCCATTTGAGATTTTCATATTGTTCCCGGTGGTGGTCAATCTCACCATTCTTGTCACTATGGTAATAAAACAGCATTAAGAAAAGCCATACTAAATATTTACCAAAGGTATACACATTTCGAAGCAGTGTGCGCGGGAGGCTCTATTTGGGTCCTGGAGATGACACAACAGACTACCCGTAGTGGCTTTCACTTGGACATTCCACCACATCATCTTCTGTAAGAAATGACCTTCTATGACAAGAACAGTTTACTCCTGTGGCGTTAAAAAGTGCTTTAAAAAGCTGCTGACGGCCAGGTGTGATGGCTCACACCTGTAATCTCAGCACTATGCAAGGCTGAGGCCAGTGGATAGCCTGAGGTCAGGAGTTCAAGGCCAGCTTGGGCAACATGGCAAAACCCTGTCTCTAGTAAAAATACAAAAAAGGGGAAAAAAAAAGGCCGGCTGTGGTTGGTGGCTCACGCCTGTAATCCCAGCACTTTGGGAGGATGAGGCGGGTGGATCATAAGGTGAGGAGTTCAAGACAAGCCTGGCCAAGATGGTGAAACCCTGTCTCTACTAAAATTACAAAAATTAACCTGGTATGGTAGTAGGTGCCTGTTAACCCAGCTACTTGGGAGGCTGAGGCAAGAGAATTGCTTCAACCCGGGCGGCAGAGATTGCAGTGAGCCAAGATCGTGCCACTGCACTCCAGCCTGGGTGACAAAGTAAGACTCTGTCTCAAAAAAAAATTAGCCGGCCATGGCGGCAGGCACCTGTAGTCCCAGGTACTCCAGAGGCTGAGGCGGGAGAATCACTTGAACCCGGGAGATGGAGGTTGCAGTGAGCCAAGGTCGTGCCACTGCACTCCAGCCTGGGTGGCACGGCAAGACTCCAACTCAAAAAAAAAAAAAAAAATGCTGCTTATGTTAGAAGAATATATAAAACATGAAAAAATATCCAGGATCCTGTGAAGTGCAAACAGATTATGCAGCCGGCTCCTCTCCTGATGTCTGTACACATGCACCACACAGGGAAGGGCATCTAACAGCTAACGTGCTATGATGAACATGCAGTGCTTCCAAAGCTGGGGGATGGAAGAGCTTGTCAGAGAATGCTCCCTCCCTTCCTTCCTGTCTCCTCAAACTCTCCACAGCACGGCTGGATGAGTGGAGCTGAGGGGATACCAGGCATGTGGGTGAGTTCTAGGGGCCCCACCACAGGCTTCACAACAAAGACTTCAGGTTTTATGCTGACTTGCCTTAAGTCAGCTCATTGAGTTTTGAAATCACTACAGACTTCATATTAAAATCATTATAAATTCAAATATATGTTAAGATAATATACGTTTGTAATTAATGAAATAAATTCCAAATATTTAAAATAAACTCCATTAATTTCAGAGTTGTATCAGAACACCAAAAAAGACAGCCAGGGCATTCCTGGATCCATGGGATTCACATTCACTCAACAAACAGGTGTTCAGAGGCCATGAGGCACTCTGCCACTCAGACCAGCTCCCGTGTCCTGGAATTAGCAGCGGGAGGAGGGCAGCGAGATTGGACAGCATTCAGGCAGCTCGGCGGAGCAGGAGGCCTGCGGGGGCCTCCGCCAGGCGCTGCACAGGAGGCGCGTCTGTCATGGCTCACCTGTGGACGCGCTCCAGCTCCAGGCGATGCTCCTGCCATGCCAGCTGCTGCTGCTGCTGCAGCTCCTCCACCTTCCTGGCCTCTCTGGCTAGCGCCTGCCTCAGCTTAGCTGCCTCTATCTTGAGCTCGCTCACCTCCGCCCGCCGGGCCTCCTCCCACTCCCTGGCCTGGGCGAAGGCGGCGTCATAGCGCTCCAGCTCAAGGTCCCGCTCCTCCAGCACCTGCAGGTTGTAGACGAAGTCCTCCTGCAGGCACCGCAGTTTCCCCTGAGCCTCCTGCAGCTGGCTCTGTGTGTCCTGCAGAGCCGCCTCCTGCAGCCTGGTGTGGCGGGCCTGCAGCGCCCTCCATTCCTCCTCCTTTCGAAGCAGTAGCTCGTTCAGGGCCGGCGCCGAGCCCAGCGGCAGCATGGTGGCCACTGCAATGAAGAAAAGGCAGGTACAGGTACTCGGTTAGGGGCCCTAACTTTCCTTCCACAATACCCACCTCCCATTCCCTATCAACAGTCACCATGGCTGGATATGGCGGCTCACACCTGTAATCCCAGCATTTTCAGAGGCCAAGGTGGGCAGATCACCTGAGGTCAGGAGTTCAAGACCAGCCTAGCACACAGCAAAAACTTGTCTCTACTAAAAATACAAAAATAAGGCTTGCGGTGGCTCACACCTGTAATCCCAGCACTTTGGGAGGCCGAGGCAGGTGGATCACGAAGTCAGGAGACCGAGACCATCCTGGCTAACATGGTGAAACCCCGTCTCTACTAAAAATACAAAAAAATTAGCCAGGTATGGTGGCACGTGCCTGTAGTCCCAGCTACTTGGGAGGCTGAGGCATGAGAATCACTTGAACCCGGGAGGTGGAGGTTGCAGTGAGCCGAGATTGCACCACTGCACTCCAGCCTGGATGACAGAGTGATACTGCATCTCAAGAAACAAAACAACAGCAGCAAAAAAATTAGCCAGGTGTGGTGGTACGCACCTGTAATCCCAGCTACTTGGGAGGCTGAGGCAGAACTGCTTGAACCTGGGAGATGGAGGTTGCAGTGAGCTGAGATCATGCCACTGCACTTAGCCTGGAAGGTAGATCACCTGAGGTCAGGAGTTCAAGACCAGCCCAGCCAACATGGTGTAACCCCATCTCTACTAAAAATATAAATTAGCGGGGTGTGGTGGTGGGCGCCTGTAGTCCCAGCTGCTTGGGAGGCTGAACCAGGAGGATCACTCGAATCCAGAAGGCAGAGGTTACAGTGAGCCAAGATCGTGCTGCTGCACTCCAGCCAGGGCAACAGTAAGACTCTGTTTCCAAAAATTAAAAAAAAATTTTAATATATATTTTATTGCACTTTAGGTTCTGGGGTACATGTGCAGACCATGCAGAACTGTTGCATAGGTACATACATGGCAGTGCGGTTTGTTGCAAAATTTTTTTAAAAAAAGAAATCCAGGCCAGGCACGGGGGCTCACACCTGTAATCCCAGCACTTTGGGAGGCCGAGGCAGGCGGATCACGAGGTCAAGAGATCGAGACCATCCTGGCCAACATGGTGAAACCCTGTGTCTGCTAAAAATACAAAAATTAGCCGGGCGTGGTGGCACATGCCTGTAGTCCCAGATACTCAGGAGGCTGAGGTGGAAGGATCACTTGAACCCGGGAGGCGGAGATTACAGTGAGCTAAAACTGTGCCACTGCACTCCAGCCTGGCAGAAGAGCAAGACTCCGTCTCAGAAAAAAAAAAAAAAAAAAAAGAAATCCAGAGGAAATAGAGGAAGGAAAGATGGGAAACATGGTTTGCCCAGCTACAAGAGCTAGGTTCTATAAAATAGCTTTAATGCAGCACTCTGTCCATTTCACAGCTGAGAAAACTAGGGCTGCTAAGTGACTACATGAGGACTGAAACCCACATCAGTCCCTCAGAGCCAGCTTCCTACCCAGCGCCCTACTCCTGGAAGATTCAACACCTGAGACAGTTAGGATCTTTATCCCTGCCCAAATCTTGTGTAGAATTATACTCCCCATCACTGGAGGTGGGGCCTGGTGGAGGTGTTTGGATGGTGCGGGCAGACGCCTCATGGCTGGGTGCTGTCTTGGTGATGGTGAGTTCTGGGCATTTAAAAGTGGGTGGCACCTCTCCACCACTCACGCGCCCTCTCTTGCTTTGTGCCTGCTCCCCCTTCACCTTCCGGGAGTAAAAGTTTCCTGAGGCCTCCAAAGAAGCTGGTGCCAGTGCTATGCTTCCTGTACAGCCAGTAGAACCGTGAGCCAATTAAAACTCCTTTATTTATTTATTTTTAAAATCATAATTAAATACTATTCTTTTTTTTTCCACACTGTATATTTAATTATTTTGAGATGGAATTTCACTCTTGTTGCCCAGGCTTGAGGGCAATGGAGCGATCTCAGCTCACCGCAACCTCTGCCTGCCAGGTTCAAGCAATTCTCCTGCCTCAGCCTCCTGAGTATCTGGGATTATAGGTGTGCACCACCACACCTGGCTAATTTTTGTATTTTTAGTAGAGACAGGATTTCACTATGTTGGTCAGGCTGATCGAACTCCTGACCTCGTGATCCGCCCACCTCAGCCTCCCAAAGTGCTGGGATTACAGGGGTGAGCCATCTCGCCCGGCCTAAATCTCCTAAATACCCAGCGTCAGGTATTTCTTTCTAGCAACGTAAGAATGGTCTAACATACCATTCAAAAGTAGATTCCTTTGTTCTTTTATTTTGTTCATCATGGACTAGTATTTTGGTAAAACCATAAAAATAAAGTGCTAGAAAAAGTAAAATTTAAAAACAAAGATCACAAAAAGCAACAGGCTGGGCACAGTAGCTGTAGCTCTCACCTGTAATCCCAACACTTTGGGAGGCTGAGGTGGGAGGATCACTTGAACTCGGGGGTTCCACGCTGCAGTGAGTGGTCTACTGAAAAAGAGTTTCTTCTGGCTGCTCCTGGCTGCCCCCAACCCTTTAGGGGTCCAAGTGTGAGCTCCATTTGGACACAAAAATCCCCCGCAGCTCTTCTCTGGTGTCCACACAGGGGCACTGCATGGCCTCAAAGAGCCACATCCAGTTGGGGGACAGGAACAAACTTGTGGCCTGGTGGGTCATGGCCCAGGTGCTGCTGCCAGAGCAGAAAGAAGCCCCCACCTGTCTCAGGGCACTCTCCATCTCAGGACACAGCAATGGTTGTGCAAAGTCCCCACTCCCAGGGGGAGCGAGCACAAGGGCAGAGCCAGGCTGAGCACCAGCCGTGATGAAGCACAAGAAGGAGGTGGGTAAGGGGCTGCAAGACGCGTGGGCCCCCCCAGAAAGGGCTGGTCAGAAGGACACACCCACTGGGGGTACCAGGGCTCCCTGGGGGTCCTGAGACAGCACTTCTCCGATGTGGCTCCGGAGCAAAGACAGCCTTACTCCATTCCACACACCTCCTGTGATGCAGGTGCCCTCCCCGACCCTGCCCAGTCCTGCTGAGCACCCTAGGCCCATCACGCTACCTCGGCCTGGCTCCTCTAAGCTGCTGTGTGCCCACCCATTGCCAGAGCTAACAGGGGCCCTGCCGACCATCTCAGTGCTCCTCCACACTTCTGTTCCTTGTCTCCCTCAGTTCCTACAGCAGCCCCATCATCCAGCCCATGGAGCAAGCCTTGATTTTTTGCTGTCTCCCGCCCTCATGCCCATACCTTGGCCAACACCATGTCTTACTGCAAGAGACCTGAACTGGCCTCTTTGCTGTTCATTCCCACTTTTTTGGCTGCCAAAGGAATCTTTTAAAAAATGCTGAACCAGGCTTGCTGTTCCACTGAGGACACCTGGACCCCAGGCTCCTGCCTGCTGCTGCCACATGCCCTTAGAGCCTGGGGTGGGCTGTAGGTGCCCCTCTGCCTGCAAGGCCCCTCCTAACCACAGGGCAGGCTCCTCCAGCCACTGGGACCTCAACCCAAACATCACTGCAGGAAGGCGTTCCTAACCCCCATCTCACACTGGCACAGCGCCATCGCCCCAGTGTCGAGTGTAGGAAGTCCCACTGTCTGGTACAGTCTTGGAGACCGAAACATTTCGTACATGTAGGCCACCCACACAGCTGTGCACACAGGGAAAGAAGCGGAATATTAGCAAATACACACTCAATGATGCAACATCACTATGATCTTTGATGACTCAGAACCCTTTGCACAATGCCCCTGAGTCATGACAACGGTTCTCTGCAGAGTCTGAGGTCTATGAGGTCTCTGGGCCTCTTCTCCTCTGAGGACTGCCTGATGCACCGTCCTATATCAGGCCCTCTGCCACTGGGCTCGACTCTTTAACTCATCGGTCACAGCCACCCATGGGGGTTACTCTTCTGAGAATCTGTTCCCTTTTCTTTTTTTTGTTTTAAGAGACAGGGTCTTGCTATGTTGCCCAGGCTGGAGTGCAGTGGCCATTCACAGGCGCAATCCCACTAGTGATCAGCACGGGAGTTTTGACCTGCTCCGTTTCTGACCTGGGCCGGTTCACCCCTCCTTAAGCAACCTGGTGGTCCCCCGCTATTGGGAGGTCACCATATTGATGCCAAACTTAGTGCGGACACCCAAACGGCATAGCACACTACAGCCCAGAACTCCTGGACTCAAGAGATCCTCCTGCCTCAGCCTCCTGAGTAGCTGAGACTATAGGCACACGCCACCATGCCCGGCAGTCTTCTGAGGATCTGATCACAATATCTTATTTGGCCTCAAACCTGCCCAAGACTCCTGGCCATTTTCAAAATAAAGTCTGATCTCAGATTTTGAGTCTTGGCACAGTATGAGAAGATAGACCAAGGATAGGGTCAAGCCTATGTGGCTCCAGCGGCTCCTTGCAGCCTTTATTTGCCAGTTCCTGCACACCTGCTATTCCAGACCCAAACAGTCTGCCTCCCCTCATTGGTGAGGTTCCTTCACACTAGGTCTCAGGACTCAGCAGGTCACCCCGTTTTCAAAAGCTTCAGGCAGCCAGGCCAGGCAGATGGCATGCATTGCCTCCTCTATGTGACATGCATACTCCCAGGGCTCTGTGCTCCGCACAGAAGAGCAGCCTGATAAATCCACACATCAAGTGACTTGGCCCACCACCCAGTGATGGGCCCCACTTCTCCACTGCTTTGTGGGTCACACGCAGGACCCACGGTAAGCCCCACACACCAAGGCCCTGTAAGTCGGCCGGCATGGTGCGCCTTTCCTTCTGACCTCATCACAGAACATCCTGCCCTGCCTCCATACAAATCCCACCTCCAGATGATCCCCAAAGCCCCAAGGCTGAGATTAATTGGCTTTAAACAGCACGGATTCAGCATCTGGATGCAATCTGCCTGTCAGCCAGCAGGCGTCCCTAACAAGCACCTAGTTTCTTTTTTTTTTTTTTTTTTTTTTT